CTGCGCCCCTGTCTCCTTCAGCCTGCCCCCCAGCGCCTCTGGTCTTACGCTTTTAGGTCTTCAATGAAGTTTTAGTTCTTTTTTTACTGTAGCAGTAAGGCATAGATTGTGACCTGTCTGTAATTCAGCTTCACAATAGTTAACAACATTCAGTAATTATAAAACACAAAAGGCATGTTCTTTCTGGCAGAGTTCTCAAGCCGATTTGTTCTGCAGTTCTGAATGCTTCACAAGGTGTTCTTGTGGCTGTCAGGTTACTCATTTGTTTATGTTCAGTCTATAATGAATTGGGAACTGCATGACTAAGCTTTCTTAACTTTACACAGCTCTCAAATTCTGCATTGTCAATGTCGTGCTCCTGCAGTTACAGACCTATAATGGAGACTGTCAGTTCACAAAGCACATGCATCCTGCTGGCCAAATAGCAGCAAGGGAGAGGCAGCTCTTGCTCAGAGGGGCATTTGGTTGGTGTTTCCTAGTTCCTCTTGTACACACTACTTGGCAGTGTTTGCATGCCTCCAGGAAGAGTCCTTATGACAGCATAGTCTTTGTCTTTGTCCCCTCAACTCCTGCACCCTTATATTTATGCTCCCCTTACTTGTCCTGCTTCAATTCTAGAATGGAGGTTCCTTGAAACATGGACCATACAGACTGAATAAACTTTCTATATTGTATCTTGCGCCTCTTTGGGTGTGGCAAAAATAATAGTGTTAAAGGGCATTTTTACATGTGCTGTGGGATGCGGCACAGGGTGTTTTAATTAGCAAGCCGTGCTACTTAAAAGCTCCCATGCATCATTTGTATCAGTGTTGCTGCATGTCCCTGTGCTGAAAAAATGGCGGCGGGGCACTTTGAACTAAAGCTCATCAAATGCTTTTTATTCAAAGCACCCTCCTGCCATTTTTTCAGTGTGGAGATGCATGGCAACACTGATACATGTGACCTGGAAGGCTGCCGGAGCTTGCCAATTTCAGTGCTCAGGCAGACTTTATTAATTGAGTCTGCTTGGACACACTGGGTTTCCAGCACATTGGAGCTGGCTCTGTGCACATGTATAGCAAGCCAAAGTGATGTTGTAGCTCTGATGGTCCAGGAATTGAGATGTTGGGGTTTCTTTGGGTACATAGAAAAGCTTGTCTAGCTATCCCAGCTATGCAGTTGGTCCAATAAAAAAGATCACCTAAAGAAATCCTTGTTCATTACTTTTTAGCAGCACTTACTGTAGCCTCAAATGCCTAGAAAAGTAATTCATGAAAACATCCCTACCAAGACTCTGCCTTCCATTGTTTACACCACAATGAAGTACTTAGATTGCACTTTATTAGCTTAAATACAAATAACTGGAACTGTGTTAGTCACAAGCGGCCTGAGTATTTATTTCCTCTTCCTGTTCTTCAGATGGCTCAGATTCCTGCTTTTGTTATATCTTGATCCTCCATTTGTGGTGAGCTGGGTAGCACCATAGAGACTAACTCATTCAGAGAGGCATTAGCTTTCATAGACGACCTAAACCATCAGATTATAGGAATATACAGTGAAGTAAGTTGTTGTCTGAAAGTTCATGCGTCTAAACCAGTTCATCTCTAAGCTGCCACCCTGACCTGCCTTCTGCCTTTTCCGACTAACACAGCTAACCACCTCCATCTGTGATGTGACCTGAGTACAGTAAAAGACCAAATCTGATCCTGTGAGCCAAAGGTGTCAAAGATTCGGTCTTCAGAGCTGTCTCGTCTGCCCTACAGAGCTGCTCCTGAGGCCAGAAATCTGGTAATGGGATGAGGAGACAGCAACGTTTAATTGGAACAGTGGAGCTGTGGTAGTTGACTCTGCTGCCAAATGTCCAACTCCATTGGGGACCTCAACAGGCCAAGCCCTTAGTACTGAGCAGCAGCATCTGGCCTGTGAGGCTGGGAATTTTGGTGCTGGGAGGAGCAGCAGCGGCGATTTTAATGCTACTGCTGACAAATTGCTGGCCCCACAGGCCAGATGATATGGCCTGCAGGGCCAGGTGAGTTAGACATGCAGTAAAATTGACCTTGCAAGCAAGAGGAGCTTGAAGGTGAGAAATTCATCTGTTGCTTACTGTGGACTGTCAGCAGCTGGTCTGAGTGAACCAGTGTAGTTGGTAGATAGGACAGTTCCTTTCAGCACTGTCAAAGCATGATACAAAGTAGCTGTGTCCATTTTACACCAATAGCTATCCTCTTTTCATTACAAGTTTGCACTGGGTGTGGACCCCCACTGTTAACAATCATTTAGCTTACAGGTAAGTTACTGTCCCACCAGGCTGGTGATTTAAAACTGCAGATTATCCAGACAGTCTCAAGCAGAGTTGGGCAGTCTTTGAAACTTCCTGTTCCCTGCTTTGTGTTAATACCAGCTTATTAGTAAACCTTAGTCTCATTGCCTAACAGAGATGCTAATGCTTTTCTTGTGGAGTATGGCTAATTTTGGGACTGCTTGATGAGGACAGTGTGCTGGGTTTAACTTGCCACCATTTGAGCAGTCTTATCTCACTCTGGGCAAAAGATGAATTAGATTATTTTTAGACTGACTCAGAATTCACCACGTTACACTGCTGAGCGTTTAGGTTTGTGTAGATTACCTGTATATGATGTGTAGCACCCCCCATTATGGAATGGCTTTCTCTTTCACTTGCTGTTTATGCATGCCCTGTTGTATTCCTGTTCTCAATTTATGATCTTGATGACAGGTCATTGAAATACACGCACAGCTCTGTTACTAGTGATAAGTACAGGCAGAGTAGTTTCCAGTGAATTAGTGCTGGTCCCTGCACAAGGAGAGAAATTTATGCTTTGACTAAAAATAAACAAGTGGTCTCACCGCACTTATCGCAGTACAGAAGCATTTGTATGCAGTTGCACATGAACACAAGGAATTACTTTATCAGATTGGGCTGTAGTTACTTTGAGTTGTCCTACCTTTGAATGTGGGCAGTAGTTATTTCTTCACTTTCTTTTTATCACTTATAAATTCATTGCCTTCATTTAATCGAATATCCCCCTTTGATAAGAAAAGATTTAAGGCATGCTAATTTAACCTCTTTTAGATCTCTTATTTTGTGTTCTTCTGGAAGGTTTGTTGTCTAAACTGAAGTCCTATTTTTTTTTCCAGTTTCTTCATATAGAAATCTCTCCAGGCTGTTAATAGGTTTTATCTAGTGGCAAGGCATAATAAAAATTATGTAATGTATGCAGTTAGTTTGGGATAGCTGTCCTTCATTTATGTAATTCATACTAGTAAATGGAACAAATATAACTTATGGTGTGGGCTATGTGTTCATCTGTCTTTGACCGTAATTTTAAGCTTTAAAGCCATTTGATTTGGTGCAATGTTATAGAAATAGATGACAGTATTTGAAAATCATCTAAAAGTTGTTCAGATTTACAGACCCCCTTCTTTCTGCATAAACCTGTTAATAATCTGATCTTCAAACTAGTGTGCAGTTCACCTGATGTTAACCTGGCCTTAAGTGCTGCTGTCTAAGCAGCTGTGTCCCATTTTAATGCAAGAAATTATTTTCCCCAAATTGCTTAAACTAAACTGAAGTTGTTTGCTTTCTAATCTTGAAGAATTACCATGTTCCACAACTTCAGTCTTTTTTCCTTTACTTGCTATTGTTGCGTGAGACTTCAGCCTACAGTGCACCCACACTCTAGATCATTAAAAAAGCTAGTTCAGCTTGGTGCTCAAAGTGTGATCCATAGGGTACCTCACTTACTACTTTTCTATGGTAGGGAGAAGCATGGTTCTGTTACTAGGACACAGGTTAGGGATTTGGTTGGTTTGGATTTAATTTTGTGACATTGCCATTAATTTTTATTCAGAGACCTTCAGCAAGTGGCTCCTTCCTCTGCCTGTAGAATACAGCTAGTATTGCTTGTTTGTAAAACATTTGGTGATCCTCAGTTGACTTGCTACCTAAAGTGTTAAGATATGACTAAGTTGTTGTTTTTGTTTTTGGGGTTTTTTCAGTTATCAGTATTTATTACCTCTGCTGCCATTCAGGCAGTCACTACCATTGAACTTGACAGTGAAGTGATTTAAAACTTGAAAATACTAGACAGTCAACTACTAAACTCAGTCTGTTCAGTTTGCCTTTTTTTCTCTCCTTATTCAGGGCTGCCTGATATTGAGTGATGAACTGAATCATGCATCACTAGTACTTGGAGCAAGATTATCAGGAGCAACTATTAGAATCTTCAAACACAACAGTGAGTTACGTGATGAGGACTCCACCCTATTACAGCCCTGACAAGTCAAGCTGCGTCTTTACTGGGCACTTAAGGCCAGGTTGTACTCCACCTACTGGGAATCTAAGTAGATTTAGGTACCTGGGTGCAATTTTGTTCCACACTGCTGAAGTCCTTGAAAAAACACTTGGGTGGGTCTTTGTGAGATTTGTAACATAGGCATGTTACCCTTAAGATGGTGACTCAAAGTCGATGCGCTCATGCCTTTGTTTCAAGGACTAATACAGGGTAGAATAGAATTGGATACTTAATGAGGGAACAGAATCTGGCCTCTGGTTGCATGAATCTGAATTTCTGCTGGGAAACCCATTGTCAGTAATTAATTAAAGGCTCTGGGAGCTGCTAGCACTGAGGAATTAATGAGGTAGCAAGACCTGGATTGACACTGTTAGTTGCTTTTCTTGATTCACATTCCATGAACAATAATTTTACCTTGTTGACACTCTGTGACAGTAGTGTAAGTAGGGATGGGTAAAAGGAGCACCTGCCCCAGGCACCAGAATTGCCGCCCCCCCCCCCCCACCCCCC